ACCAACAGTTTTTCATATTGCTCGATACATGTAATTGAAGTAGTCGAGAATAAAAGGTGGAGAAGCGGGGAGGAGACGCGTTCAATTATTGTCTCAGAATCGATCTGATCGTTTGAAGAACAGAAACCCACTGCACCCGTTCGTTAACCGATAATTAGGAATTGGCCGAAACGGGGAGGAAGGAAATACGAGCATCGGGAAGACAAATCCAGAAGCTTCCTCGCGTCGGAGCATGTATACCAGTTCCAGCAGCGCGGAGCACGGTACAGTTTGCTGGCACGGACCCGGCCGAGGGAAGAAGGGGGAGGGCAATCGGTCACTGATTTGGTCAGATCCATAAGGAGCGTGCATAGCGAGGAGCATTAATGACCCGACAAGCATTCCTTGCCCAGATGCCCGATCCCCCTCCCCCCTCCTAACCCCTCATTTCGTCCCGTAGGAATCTTCTTCTCTTTTCATCCACCTCTTTTCTCTTCTTCATAGCAAGCTCCGTCCCGTTTCCTCCCCTTTATCGCGGTAGACGGCTGTCCTTTGCTCTCCCAGGATCATCTTCCTCTCTCCTTCTTTCTCTTTACCGCTGGTTCTCCTCCCATCCGCTTCGGAAGTCTCGCGCGATCGCGTTGGGTGGTCTCTCTACTCTTACCGACTCTCAGTCCCATATAGCCGAGAGACGTGCGCACGTTCCTACCATGTTCGGGACCTTCACGACAGACAAACCGAAAGCGAACCTTTATGCCCTTATACCTTAAACGCGATGCGCTCACGCACCGTACCGCTGTGCTAGCCGCGACAAAGTGCGAAAGGGAGAGCGCGTGGGAGACCGAAGTAACCAGATGCGTGCGCGCATCTCATCCGCCTCTTCTCTTTCCGTTTTTCATTCAACTGCCGCCGTGGACACTTTTAGAAACAGCAGGAAGCGGAATCTTTTCTTCAACAACGCTACATTTTAAGCTATCGATTGCGCTTCAATAATTGACTGCGCGATTGACTATGAAGAGTGAATAAATTCTTTATAAAACGTATTGTCGCCCCGTAATAAAATTCGAATTCTTAAAAAAGATGAATTTACTTTAGAGAAATCAACCAGATCTCTCGCGTCTGGAATGAACTCTATTGCTCGAGCCAGATAGGAACGGTAGCGAAAAGATCGGGTAAAACTCTTAATTAATTACTGAGAGTTGGACTGTGCCAGTGGTGGTTATCTTCGTTTCCGGACAGCAGCACGGGTACGGATCCGCCGAAAGATGCGCTCTTCGGCCCGTAACGCGTAATTGGCCGGGCTGTGAACGCGACATTAGATCCTCGTTATCCTAACGAGCTGAAATAACGCGCGGCACTCGGGAGAGGAGAGTGAGTCGATGAAAATTCGCGTAGCGTACGCGCGCACACGAGCAGACCGAGCAATCTGCCCTGCTCGCTTTACTCTATTTTCCCAGAAAGATTTACAGCCGGCCAAAAAGGAAGGAATCGAGCGATTCATCTGGCTGATTGTTAGCAACGCGCGATTAATGTTCCATTCCTCTTTTATGAAACGTCGTTCACGTTTCGAAATTTCCTGTCCGATAATTACGATTTGATCGTCCACATTTTTTCCACTTACTAATTACTCTAATTCAATGTACTTAGTGTAGAATGAAGTAACTCGATGCGAATGATGGTTGCGCGTGTGTCGCAAAGGTCTTCAAGATAATCTACACGGTATCTCACATCGATAAATGTCACGGGTGAGAAAAGTGCGTAATGTATTGTCAGAGATCAGCTTGACGAAGCGATTGGTCTCGGTATACAGATAACCGAAAGGGGCAAAAGCCAGGGGGATGCAGCATTAAGCCGAATGCGAGTGACATTTTACGGACAAAGACTTTCCTCCTGGCCGATTTTCACGCATGCCAATAAAATCGTCGTGGGGCCGCTTACGTTACCGACCATTTTTTCCTGGTGACGAAAACAGTCGGTATCGATGACCCTGAGTCCTCGCCTCGTCACGTTTCCTCGACTTTCTACGCAGTGTATCTTTATACCAATTTCAAATGCACGTCCAAACCGTTCCTACGCTTATCTTTTTTGCATAAATCACGTTTGACGGATTGATCCGGTATCAGAGATGATAAAATCCCATAAATCTAGAATGCAAGTTTAAATCGCGGGTAATTAAAATGAATGGTCGCAATGAATCTTGACCTTTCCTCTCGGAATCTTTTAAAGAGCTCGCGGCGCGAAGGAAAAAGCGGCGCGTTACGACATAACTCATACCGCGCGGTGGTTTCGCGTTCATTGGCGGTGCCCGCGATGAGAGACACGCGTTCACAAAGCCTCTTTCTCTGCTCGTGCTCAGGGGTGATCTATTGGCGAGACATCTGCCGTCGTGTCGTCATAGAGACGACGCATTTACGGGCAGCTAAGTGGCCTTTACCCGCGGCTTCCCGAAAGCGGCGCAATAAATTTCGCTTCGTCTCTCATGCGGCCCGCCTTTAATTTGACAGCCTGGGGCTCGTTACACTCGTTAGCACACCCAACGAGAGAAAACACAGCCTCTGACTCTCTACGGCCAACCAGAATACGTCTTTGATTCAACCTGGTCCCAGGTGATCTCGAAACGTTTCGATCCTCCAATGGAATTCCGACTCGCTGTCGAGAAAATTGTGTTACTAACAAACGTGTCAAGGTAGCTGCCTCCAGAGTAAGTCGTCAATAACGTTGCACCCGATCGATTCACCTCCTCGTTAACTCTAATCAATTATCAATACCGCTCTATTATCAGTGCCTACTACGTTTGGTAGCAGCACAGTATTCAATTCAGTTCGCTATGTATACTCGCAGTATGTATTTACAACTTAGTTTTCCAATTTGTCCAGCGAAACAGCGTACATCGGAAGTGGCCACCGAGCATGGCCCTTCCGTTAGTGGCTGATATTGTAATAAACATTCGGCTGAGACGCCATTAATCGTTGGAGCCTCGCAAGGTGGCCCCGTACCGCGCAAGAAGACGAAATTTAGTAAGCCACTGGTGGAAACGTAGAGACCCCTAATGGCCATTCCGATGACTATGGTTTTCGACCACAGTCTCCCTTCCTCGTCACCTCACAAGTGCCACCCTCGCCGGCCCTATCATCCGCTAGCAAACCGGGGGTTCTAACTCGTTTTCTCCACCAGGGCCACTCTTCGCTTCCTCCTCCTTCTCCTCCACCTCCCCCGGCCGTATATGCAACGGCGTTCCAGCAATTACGCATCGCCGCAGTTAAATACAATGGCCAGGACAACGACTCTGTAATTTATCCCCCGGTTTGGTGAGCCACCGTCCGCGCGCGTTTGTTTCCACCGTTGGAAGAGAACAACGCCGGCGCGACCCCTCGTTCCCTCTTTCTCTTCCTCAGTTCTCGCGTCGTTTCGGTCCCGCGGACGACCTCAACCCCTCTGGCTGGTCTGTTCTCTGCGTTTAAATTAATGATAATTAATAATGGCGACTTGCATGCACGCCGTTCGTCACCGGTGAATTACGTGGTTGACTCTTGTCCAGGTGAATTTATCGAGAATATTCTAATTGGGCTACCAGAGAGTCGAGATGGATGTTCCGAAGCTTTACACTTTTACCAGCCTACCAAATCTGTCTTAGGGAAATTAAATTACGATTATATAAAATAAAATAGTATTAACATAATTAGAACTTTCTGAGAAAGAATTGAACATAATTAATTCAATGATTCAGTGGAGTATGATGTCGCTACGCCTTTAATTAATGGTTAAAAAAGAAATTCACCCTGTACGTTAAAATTAATTGTGAACACGCTTTATCGTAGGGTGCATAATACTCTTCGTTTTCAATAAAGCGGGGGCGGTTGGTAAAACCGAATTTATCTTTCGCACTCGGAAATAGTATGGCGCGCAATTACGTTGGACAATGGATCCCCGATAGAATTACCAATTAGGGATCGTCGCGTTCAAATACAATGGCCAACAACAACGACTCTGTAATTTATCCCCCAGTTTTCGGCTGCCGTCCGCGTGCACACCGTTGGAATTAATGACAATTAATAACGTTCAACTCGTCTTGTTTGTTCGACATCGGTCGCTGCTGGGGTAAACTTTACGGATGACATTTAGATATAGAAAATTCCAATAATCCCATTATTGTGACACCGTAGGCACGTTTCGTCTATGAACTTGTACACTTTTTATTTCCCGTATACTATGTATTGAATACATTTCTGTTTCAAATGAAACAGCATTGGTTTAAACGAGCACTATATTTCAATCACTTGTAATTACTCGCGGATAAACAGATAAAATTGTCTCGCCTCTACAAATAGCTACAGTTGTTCGTATTTGTATCCCCGTTCGCTCATTTCGCGGGGCTGGAAAGACACTAAATAAATCCGTTGACGAGCAGCCACGTATGGCACAGCCTCTAAAACAGGTGCGCGACGCGCATTAACGCTTATCCGGTGTCGATCAACGACGTCGGCGAAATGCGTTCGAACCAAATAGTAGTCGCACACTGTCATCGTCGCCACGTTCCATTTATTTGTCGGTCGCGCTCGGAATACCGGGTAGCTCGTTAATTCAGGATCAATTATCGCGTCACGCCGCGTCACCGAAAACGAGGCGTGTCGGTGCCGCCGTTACACGACTCCGCATACTTTTCGGCTACGTAAATTTTACTAATTACGCCGAGCCGCTTTCGTTTCGAAACCGTCCGACCATAAAAGCTTGTTCTACTTCTTTCTTTCTCTCCTTCGATTCCATTGATCGACCGCGGCGCCGAATTAAAGTAAACCGACCGTGTAATCAATATTAATTATTCGATGCAACAAGGATAATTGTTTACTTAAGAAACAATTACAAACTCTTATTGGGAAGAAATATCTCATTGGAAATGTGAGATATCCAGCTCGTGTAGTGCAGGAGAAATCATCCGAGGTAGCCGGGGACAGGAGAATAACGTGCAGAGAGCGAGCATATATATTTTTAATTCGATTTAATCGAAACATGTAAGCGGGTTACATTAGATTATATCGACCACGTATTGTGAGACACTGGAATATACGTATACCTTCGAACTTCGTCTATACCAGCGCAATATACATGTATTTACACAGATTATGGACTCGTACGATAATTAGGAATATACAGTGTGAGATCGTTTTCGTATTCACGCGACCGTGCCTACGTACGTACGCAATACACAATAATATATGTAATCTTCGCGCGGCAATTAAGGATTATCTCATTATCATACATATACACATTACGAGAAATCGTATTTACAATTATGTACATGGAAAATAAATAGTTTAAGCGTCTAATCGATGAAGATCGTATCGAGCTCGTTTGTATACTACATTCACGTGTATCTAGTTCTACATTAAGTATACTCGATAAATATGAAGGCTCAGTCTGTCGTCCGACTGTGTACGAAACTGAACGTCGAACTCGTTTCTCTTATCTAGCATTCGCCTCAAATTTTACCATTCACAGATTCGTTACGTCTAAACTAAGTAAAAAATTATTTGGTGATCGCTAAATGTAGCTACAGAGAAGTGGATTGCAATTTTTAAAAACCACTGTCCGAATTCGAACAAAATTTCAAACATCCTTTCTTTCTTTCGCCATCGAATATAAATTTTAGAAACATTGTTTCTCATTATTTACTTCAGTTTGACGGAAGAATGAAACTTCGTAGAGTCGGATAACTTTCTCATCGTTCAATGAGAATGATTGCTCCCGGTCACGATTTCCTCGCCGTCTTCGTCGACGGGTACCGTCGAGTGATTGTAGAGACCCTGGGCCATCAGCTGAAGCGCGAGAGGATTCTTTTGGCCGCTGGCTTTTTTGATTTTAGCCCGTTTGTTCTGAAACCAAATCTTTATCTGGGCTTCATTCAGGCCCAGGTCCCTCGACAGTTGTTGCCTCCTTCGCTCGGTCAGGTATCGATTCTCTGCAAACTCCCTTTTCAGTCTTGCAAGCTGCTCCGCGCTGAACGCAGTTCTTGGCCGTTTCTCTTCCGGTGTGCTGTTCTTGGTACTCTGCGATCGCTTCACCCGCCTCGTTCGCGGTCCTGCAACACCATCGATTTATTCCTCGTAAATCATCGATTTCATTACAACATTTTTTATGCCGAGTCATATAACGAATTGGTTGATTTCGATTTTTATTAACAAATGCTATTATCGAGTAAGGAACGCGTACAAATTATCAACACGCAATTATTTTTATGGGTCATCGAGCAAAATAAAGATTTAATAGTAAGCTTTGACGCTGGCTAATGAAACAGTCTCTTAATCTTTACTCGATCGTTTCACCTTGCGTGGCAATGAATAATTTTACATTATCGTTTATACGAGCCGCGAGGTTGATTAATCCGTCGCCGCTATCGCGTTTCAGTATTGTCTAGATTTTATTACGACGCACTTCTGATTTGATCGCTCGCCTTGAAAACGTAATGAAAATATTAGAACCGTGACTGGCGTTTAATGAATATTCATAGAACGATCTCTCGTTATCAAAGAAATTCCCGAAAATTCTTGTTTAGTATAACGAATCGTGTAAACTTCTGTAAGGAACGCGAACAAACCGTCCTCGAGGGGCTCGTTAGCGTCTAATGAATTGCTACCAAAATTCCTTCATCAAGATCTAGCCTCGTTCCATCGCGTCGGTTTCCTCAAAGTGCCACGATCGAGATCGTCGACTCGAGCGAACAGCTCACGCAAGAATATTCCGACTGAAATTCCTCCGATTAAGATCTACCATCGACTATCGATCACCGTTCGCTGGTCGAAAACTCTTTAATTAGCCGCGCGGACGAGGCGGTAGCAGGGAAAGGGGGGATCGATCACGAATCGCGGTAATTAGTAACACGATTATCGGGTGGTAAGGTCGCAGACCACACCGAAGCCTAGACACGGGTCGCGTATCTGGAACATGACCAAGTATCATAGGTGATCCACATCCAGACATCATACATCATGTATCTTCTGTTTTTCTACTGTTATTTTTTTCGAAATAATTCATATATCAGCAAAACTTATAACAAGATTGTTTTTTTTTGTTGCACTGTGTTATTATAATAATCAACGAAGACAATATGTAAATAACTTCAGCATTCAAACAATTTATAGATAATCTATTAATTATTAAATGAAATGTATGACATTCTCCTGAAACTATGTCTGCTGTGTTTGAAGAAAATATTTCATATGCACCCAACTTAATACATTGTGCTGATATGTAGATGTTGGTGAATCAAAGTTCTGTGAACGGGCACAGGTGGTACGTACCGTTGGCCCCGTGAGACTCATAATTACATATAAACTATGCAACTGGATAGTTCGATTTAGATCAGTCGTTTCTAACCGAGTTTACGGATCGTGAAGAGTGCTTTTACATTTTGAAACTGGAACTGGTAGACGTATTGTTATTTTTTTATGGTAACCGATCCCGTAATTAGGTGAACCTTTTGCGGCGATTTTTTGATAGCGTGCCCAGGAAACCGCGCACCGATTTGCATAGGAACTGGTTCCGAGATGTAACATAAATTGATTAAACGAATGTAAAGAAATAGTGGTTAGAGATTCGCGAAGTATGGCCCGACCCGCTACGAGTTCCACAGCTTCTGTGATATCGCGATTAACTGAGATATATCTGTCCTGAGTAGATATGGGGCCTGTATCTCCACGAACCGTGGATTAATCTGTAGTAACCGATAATTGATCAGTTTCTCGGCCCATATAAATTAGTACTACATATTCTTTCTTGTATTCGTGTGATGTTTTACTCAAATTCACGCGAAAACCGGAAATTATACATGACTGCATTTCTGAAATTTGAATAATTAGAACACCTACCGGAAGATGGCCTGTCCGAGTATCTGGTGCAATAAACCCATGCCGGCCAAGGACTCTGACCGTTGAGTCCGGTTTGGTTGGTAGTGGTGTTGGATGTACTTCCGATGTTGCTATCTCCGTTCAAGGAATCGCTGCCGATGGTGGAGGAAGCGGAGCCCAAAGAAGGAGCTCCGGTCACAGAGCTTCCGGTAACGGAGCTCCTACTACTTGCCAAGCTCTCGAGACTTCCGCTTCTGCTCAAACCGGTGGTCCTCTGAAGGGGTGACGTCAGCCCGCAATGGGACGAGAACAGATCCCTGTCTCTGTGTACGGAGAAGTTGCTGGTCTGCGGCCTGGTAGGCGACAATCTGTTCGATGATAAGCTCAAATCGCGAGGGAGAGAGAGAGGACTGTGACGAGCAATCGGAACTGGAATCGTCGTCGAATGTCCGGGCACCAAACTGCTTTGTTTAGAGACTTTCGTACTGAGAATAGCTTCTCGTCCAAAATCTGGTCGCAGAATGTTTACCACGCTGAATCTTAGAGGCGTTTCAATATCGTCTTTATGATCCTGCTGTTGTTCTTGACGTGAACTCACGCGACTCTCCGGAGATCGCACCCTGTGATGGTGATGGTGATGGTGGTGGTGATGACTGGGTATCCCCAATCGAAGACCGTACGCAGAATCCATTGTTACAAGAGCTACGCTCATCTTTCAGTCCTTTGAATCGTACTGTATCTACCGTTCGATGTAAACTTTCCACGTGACAGTTGCGGACAGTTGTCAGAATTGTCGTTCGCAATGCTAACCCTCTATCGTCGTACTCGTGAAAACACGTAGCCTCGCACTTGTCATTGATCTCGTTTGTTAGTCCTCAGAGTTCCACTCGTTGGGACACTGTCTCACAACTCGGTATCTCGATCATAAGTGTTCCTCTCAGGATCACCGCACGTGTCACTGTATTTTCCTCACTGTTCATCTGCTAATTCTCACTGACAAGCCTCTGCGCGTTGCGCAACGCTCGTCGAAGGATCGCTCACGTGGTAGATTCTACGAAACGCTGTCGGGCCCAGTGTTCCTGTCCCCCTGAGCGGTATCGACGGTTCGACTTGGTATCAGCTCCGGGAACGAGAAGTGTCTCCTTAGTATTGGGTTTTCTCGAGGTGTCCGAGGACTCGAGCGAGTGCTGTGACGGGTCTGACTGGCTGTCCATCCGTCGCTCAGTGATGTCTAAACTAGGGGACCTGTGGTCCCTACTTACCGCTCTCCCCTCCGACCCCCCGCTCCTTCACTCCTCCTACGCCGAGGCCCGGAGTGCAGTGCACTAGACACCCTCGATTGTATCTCTATTAACTCTTCAGTCGTAAGCTCCGCCCATTGGCGTAAGCTCTACCCTACTCTCCTTCGTTTCATTCCCACCACTGACAGCCTGTGGAGAGTGGGGCTGCAAGCTAGAGTTTCCCGCGATCGATGCTAAACTTGCATCGTTCCCAGTATCGCTTCAACGTCGCCCAGATTTTTATCCTGTTCCTACCTACTCTCACGTTTCTTCATACATCCAAGAAGAGAGTTACATTAAAAATGTCATTTTTATTAAACGCTGAACAGAAGTATCAACTCTGGCATTACATTTCAATGCATATTTAGTTTCTAGTCTTTGATGATAATTCGATGATTGCAGATAACATAGGTGTACTATTTGTAGTTTCTAGTCACCCTACAATGTTGTTTCGAAAAGCAAAGACATTCGAGCAATTGCAAGTATAAGAATTACAGCCCTACCCCGACTCGTTTATAGCCCCCACCACGAGCTCGAAGGAAGATCTCGCCCACGATCTCGCCCCTCCCTAGTAGGCCACGCCCATCGCGTCTCCCCTCCCACTTTTCTCTGCCACTACTCCATACTTTTGTTTCTCCCCACTCCGCTTTTTGCATCCGGACGCAGCTAATTCATTTCTTCGAGTCGACAAGCGTTCTCTCGCTGACGCGAATTTTATCGTTCGACGTCGAAATCGCTTTATACAAAAATTTACACGATCGTCCAGATCCCACTGCCACCGCCCCGTTCCCCTCCACTCCCCCACCCGTTTTAGGGTGGGGTCTCGCGTGACGGTTAACGAACAAATGTATTATCCGCGCCACAGCTGCTCCACAGCCTCCCCTTGGACCTGTTCCCCTTCCTCCCAGCGCTCGCACTTTTGATTGCACGCTGCAACTGATTGTTTGTTCAAACTCGAACAATGGCCCATTACGCGTTTACTCACGTTACATCTTACTCGCAGCTTCTTTTTCTTTTAACATTATAATATAAATTTATTCTTCTTATCGTGTTTCGGTCGACTGATATCGACAGCAAGCTTTGATATACGAAAGAAGTTGTTTCCTTAAATACCGTATTCAGTACTCGTTATTAGGTCTTGGCGTTTGACCTAAGAAATTATTGCTGATTGCGTGTCGTGAACTGAGGACACCTCGGTGCCGTAATTAACACCGGCGGTTAACCGTTGGAGAGAAAATTACAGCCATTAACTCTTTTAGCGTCTAATCGCATGAGATTCTCGTCTTCGGTGGAATCGTTATTTGCTCACGGCATGAAACAACCAAACCTAGGCATTAGAAACACGCGATACTTCTAACGAGCCGTCAATAAACTCTCGCTAATTAACCGCCTTGCGACATTTGAATCACGCGCTGCGCGTTGCCTAGTGGAATTGTAATCAATGAAAATTCGAATTAAACGTATCACATAAAATACTGTGCTCATAGTTGGATAATACCAAAGGCATAAATTGTATAATGAAATTGAAACACATATGATAAGAGAAATTGAATATACTATACATACATGATCGCCCATGATCACGGAAACTTGGCCCTTAAGATAGTTGTTACCCTATTATACGTATGTATAAGTGCTTAAAAATTGGCGGATTTTGACAGACGGTATTTCGGAAACGAGATGATCAATCGATCCAGGGTTTACCACACATATTCTTTGTCATCTTAATCTTCTACAGAATTTCAAATAATTTTCAATACTCTCGATTTAGCCAATAAACTACTTGAACGTTTCCATAAAATTTTCCCTGTTACGGAACATTTGTATTTATTTGTATATCCCATAAATGCGTTTACGAGCGTAACGCGTTTGCGTTCGTGTGGCTCGCAAAAATCGAATTCCTAACGGATCGGTCGGATCCGTCTTGGAGCGAACAGACGGCAATTCCTTTGTTCCGCCAGGCTGGAAGTTTGCAAAGAAACGTGCAAGCTCCTTGTTAGAGCGCACGGTTTTATTAATGACCACACCTAGGGATACCAGCTGCCACGTGAACCACAAAGGGGATCGTTAGTCCCTGGTTGGATTCGTGTAAGAACAATAATAGAGATAGCTGCTATAAATAACCATAACGTGTCTATCCATCAATAGAGCCCTCGTTTGTGAACAGATAGGCCGCACTCTAGACCGCTTTCCAAGCGGAATACCATTACCTGGAGAAGATAGATCCTCCGGATCACTGTATACAGGATGAGTCTCCTAGCATGACGACTTCGTTTGGTTATTAGGGTGAAGGCAATAAGACAATATTTTTATTATACGTATAATAATATCTTATTCTCTCTCTTTGAGATTAATAAACGTCTTTATTGCTTCAAGAAGGTTGTCTCCGACATGAACAGATCTCGATCCGCAAACCCGAAATTAAAAAGAGTATCCTTATGATAG